CAACTGATTTATGTCCTTATCCAGGTTTTCGACTGTAACTCAAATATTCAACAGTTTTTGTTTGTTTGAATGAAATTTATCGCACATTGTTTGGCGTGCCGTACACGTGCCTTGATGTTTTATTCGTTTTTTTGGCGAGCGCACATGGTCACCAGAGTATGAATCAAATATGTACAGCGAATTAGCATCACCGAATTGTTCAATTCTTAGAAAACCTTTTCAGTAGGCCTAACGGGAATAAGAACCCATTTTGATTGGATCAATGGACAAACAGTCCAGCAGTCTGTTCTCATCTTCTGTTGCTCGAATACTGAATCCATTAATTCACTCCGGGAAGTCTTATTCCTTGTTTAACAAGATTAGATTCACCGAACGGCTCCCAGTACGCACACCCCACATGTTACTCATATTTGGGAGTAGTTCTCTGTCATACCGCCGCAATGAAGATTGCTCCAACAAGTATGATAAAACTTGAACGGGGACAACGAATGCGTGTTTGAAATTAATTTCACGATCAAAGCATTCATCACTTTTTCACACTCTTGTCCGGCCCTTAAATGTCAGGGTCAACCCCTGGTGCGGACGTTCTACCGGATGCACGATAGAAGGAAACAGTGCGCAGTGCTCAGAAGAGTTGAGTAAAAATTGTGGCGGGAGAAATTGCCGAACTTGACGATACCAGATGTGGATCNGGAATAAGGAGAGCAGAACTCAGCAAACCAGACAGCATCTGTCTTGCCAAGACAAACTCGTGGAGTACGAATGCTCCGATCAGATTTCCAACTAAGCAAGATACAAGACAGGATTATAATTGGCGTTATTCCATGATTCGTCCATTGCACTAGTAAATTCATGGGATCAGGTAAGAAAGTGTAATAGATTTACATGTCTATTGAAGTCGGTGTTGTACTGACTCCATAAACCTTTATGAATGATATCCCATTCAATTGATCGTTATTCTCCTTACATCTGCGACATGATTGACTCAGTGGTTAATCTGTTGGGGAGACCAAAACCTGGCCATCTTGAACAAACATGAAAGCCGATAGACGAAGATTTCAGACTGTTGAGTGATGGCGTTGAACCATACAAACAAAACAGATGACTGTGAGAGGATGTAGTCTGGGCTAATGAGTTTAGTGAAGCATTGATAATCATTCGACCTGAAAAGTCAGGGAATCGAAAGCCCACCAGTAAACTTAATGGGTAAGACCTATTTTTACGAACTCTTTCTCGCTGGGTTCTACATCATAGCTCATAGGACCAAGATAAAAAGGATGAAAATGATATACCCAAAATAAAATAAAATAATTTGGATAATTTCACTTGCTCCCTACTCGGCTTACAATTGGGATCTCACGAATGTATCATGAGCGAATGAATTAAGGTTGTGGAAGCCCATAGGGAGACAGTAACTTGTCAGTGATTTTGTGCACAGAGAGTTGTACAGAGGCAAAGTTTTCGTACATCCACTGCAGTCATGCAGAAACATTTAAGCCCCCGAGATGGTAGTCTGTATTCATGGTAGAGGATCCGGAATGCGCTGGTCAAAGCCGCTAAATGACCGAACTCCAAAATGTGAAACCAGAATCTGCTTGTGGCTGATTTTTTGACTCCAGTGTCCAGCCGATTTGGATGATGCTGACAAAACTTGCTGTGTCAAACGCCTTCTCGTGTGACCAATCTGTGATCTCACTTGGTAACAAGACCACACAGTACTGAGATGGCAGAAGCTGACCATTGATCGTGTTCATGACGTGGATGTACTTAGAATTTTTGATCGCACAGAATTCTGGTATGCTTGGAGCTGTAACTGCTTGAAGAACCACCCCGTGTCATAAAGTCACAGCGTTATTGGAACAGAATAAACATAGACAGTTGATTTACCATAGCCCCAGTCTACACTAAATTGCATGAGTCCAATGGGGCAACCAGACAAACTGGATGGAGATTCAGTGCAGTATTTTAAGTAATCGTGATTGTCCACTGGACCTGAATAGACTACGTTGTTTTTGGTACGTGTTCCTCATATCATCAAATCGATTTCCACAAGGTGCGATGTATACTAGGGTGAACAACAGCCGAAAGAAAGCACGAGTGGTTGAGCTAAAACTTGTCGTTGCGTAAGAAAAACCGTAACCAGGTTACTCAGTGATATGGATCGCCCTCGTCTTCCCAGAGGGGAGTTGCAATTATTACAAAGTAGGATATAAATAGCCTGGATTCATAGCTTATCACTTTAAAGCCTGGATATTTTCTATACATGGGGATTATTTTGAAGATGCACAATAGCACAATAAACTACACAACGAAAGTTATGTTTCCTGGTCGACTGATTTCATTACGAACAATGTAATCAAGTTGATAAATCGGGTTATACGGAGATGATTTGAAAGCAGCAAGTTCTGTATTGTTTGGATTTCTGTCCTGGAGTGTTTTTACAAAAATCTATATTCAGGCTAATCACATGTTGACAAAAAGTACTTTCATTGAAGCATGTGAGTGAATCATCAAAAACCACAATTGAGTTGAGGATAATCGGACGACCAGAAACGTGAAGTTGAGATTCCATTTCATGACCAAAACACAAACTGATTGAGGGTATTATAGGGATATTTGAGCACAGTTATTTATTGTACTTCTAAGTTTCCAATATATGGAGAATATAGATATATTACTTTCAATTCTATTTTAGTTCCACACAATGCTGGATGTGTTTGTCTACCTATATTAATCAGAGAAAAATTACAATCAAAGTTTGAACGCAATCATTGAATGAGCCAAAAGTAAGTATTTATTTTGTTTTGGTTGTTTGGTCCATGCCTTCAGTTTTCATTCTCTCTATTTGCAATTACAGACTGACACTTTATGTTCTAATCAATCACTTCTCACATAGGATACAACTCACCTTTTGTAAAGGTAAATCTTCCTCCCTACTAGCNAGGGTGCTGTTTTGTTTCTTTTTACACTATACATTACAAAGTGCACATATGCTAATGGCGTGGTGGTTGGTTTCTCCCTCGACTGATCCAGACTGTTTCCGTCAACTTCAGGATTATCTTATTCAAATTGTTGGTGGGACTGCACCTCACTATCGATAAGTGTTCCTTTCAGCCTCAACACAGGCACCCATTACCAAATACTCCTCAGTAACCAGCCTTAAAATTATATTACTGAAAATATAATCCCCAAAGCTGAGTATCTTGATCATCTTGGAGTTACTGTGTCACATAACCTTTCTTGGTCCAAAAATGTTGGAAACATTAACGTTACGTTTGGTAGATTATCCTTCTACGATTTAAAACTTTAAAATACTCGACGCTCCCCTTAAAGTAATTCTTAAACATTTCCAAACTCGTTTTACTGTTTCCCGCTCTTTTTCGCCGCTCTAAAGATGGAAGACTTTATTCCCTTTTCCAGATCTCCCAAACATCTTTCTCGTTGCATTGGCGTTTCCAAAACTGTTTTAGATGATTTCATCGGTAGCAGGCATTATAATTCTTGCGATGGATTTATCAGACATATACTTTCAAACAAAGAACACTGTCGGCATGTCCATCTCAATAAATCTGTCTCATTCGAGTACGCGTTCCCGAATGTAGGATTCTTTGTACACGTACCACCACATATCAAAACAGCTTCGTCCTTAATTTTGCTTGTATCTTATTCAACTGAGCACTTAACATTACTTGTAAAATCACCTGTCACATTAGGATATGAACCTTTTTCAATGCACAGCGTCTTCTTTACCGTAACTTGTTTAGATGTCTGACAATCCATCCTATCGAGCGCAAAAAGCTTAATTTCACCTGAATATATTTTGACCATGATTTGTTTTGTGTGTTATAACCGACAAACTTTATGTGAAGCGGTTTGATCCCGGTTGAAGTTTCTTGAACTCACAGGCAGTAGTTTTGGCTTCCAGTCCGAACATTTACGCATGAAGTGGCAGCAGAGACACGAAAAAAAATCAACCAACACCGACCGCCAAAACCATTCATTTAGGCTGTTTATTTACTACTACTAAGAACACTATTACTGCTAATATAACTAATGGCATTGACACAACCACACCAGCTGATTGAATAATTACAAATTAGCAGAAAATGGTTGCATTACGCAGTGTCTCAAAAGTTGAAATAGAATTGTCCCATATGTGTTTATTAATGATCTGTTAGAATGCGTCTGCTCTTAGATACTGTGATTGATTATTTTCGATGTGGATATCCGTGAACGATCGGATTTTTACTTTTTGATATTTAATGTAAAAACATGAATGCTTATTTCGGTGCATGTTCCTCGCGCCTGGCGAGAGAAAAACCGGGTTCAATATAGAGGGTTTGAGATTCTAACAGTGCGTCTTTTCTGCTCGCGAGTCTCCAATATAAAAATTTAATTAATAGCGCATTTGGTCACATATATGCCCAGCACTTTAAAAACAACAACAAAGACACTTTATTAAAATCCCAAATTAGTGCACTTTTATATGAGAAAGACTATTTTACTATTTGCGGCGTCTGTCGAGTGAAATTAGCTTTAGGTTACTGTGAGGAAAATGGTGCTTTATGATTGGCTAATTTTGTGTACTCTAGTTCAACCAATCAGAGTGGATCATGACTTATCCCACGTCAAGCCATTTTGCTAATCTAATCTAATCTGATACAAATTCAGGTCATCTGATACTGTTTGACTATAGCTAACTTCATTTTTTATATTCAAAATCTTCAATCGATATTAGAACGTGAGCAAGCAGCTGAGAGGTTTATTCCTCGCAAACCCCGCCCTGATTTTCGCGGTTCAACCGGCACTCAACAATCCGTGCCTTGTGCAGGTATCCGTGCGCTGATCCCTGTTTATTGATCAGTGTGTTCCACCCACGCAATTCAATACCATTTGTGTTTATGTTAAAAAAGGTGGTTGTAAGCACGGTGGATAGAAACCATGCGTCCACTGATCATCGGGAACATCTTAGCCTTCATGTTCCTCGAGCATCATTTCCAATGCCGTTCCCCTCACCCCTGAATATCAAGATGCAACTGGATCAGGTGATTACCGGTCGAACAAAAAAATCCACATTAGCCGGATTAAAATTATCTTCCGATTCAGGCCTGGTATTTCGAACACAGTTACAGGACAAAGAATATGTGTATTTGAACGCGGCCGAATTCGGTGAGGTGGAAGTGGTCAAAGAGTTGTTGAGTGACCCCAAATTGGATGCCAACTGTGTGGACTATATGGGCAGAAATGCGCTTCTATTGGCCATCAAGAACGAACACATTGATTTGGTTGATATACTGGTAGGAAATTTGAATTTTTACGCCGTCGAAGATGCCCTACTACATGCCATCAGCCAAGAGAAGAATCATTTGGTAAAACTCATTGTTGATCATCCACAGTACATTCGGCTGGAGAAACAGGCAAAATTCAAGAAACACAGTAAACAAAAGAAAACAGAATATTATGGGAAACGGTCACAATTCTCGTCAGACATTTCACCGTTGATGTTGGCTGCGCACACAAATAATCACGAGATTATTCAGCTACTACTGGATCGTGGAGTGAAGCTCGAAATGCCACATGATCGGTCCTGTTCCTGTATTGAGTGCGAAACTATCCGTGCTGAGGTAAGTTGACGAACAAATCTAGCCCCATTTGTTTGTCTCCCCCTTATTTGGCTAACCTCAGAAATCCGCAGTTATATCTGAGGGAAAGCAAAGTTTAAGAAATATATTTCTGTTTTATGTCCTTATGGGATGTCCTTATATGTCTGTAACATGGCCGTTGGGGTGTTGCTAATATCAACTATAACGGTGTTTATTAGATCTGGATACCGGGATGGTCCGGTATGTTTTCGAAGCGAATTGCTGTGATATAGAAATTAATACAGCGTTTGAAAAGCAATAGTCAGAAAGATTCTCCTATTACACCGTCATCATTTGACCACCAACAAAACATTTTTCGGTAAGGTTACATGTGATAAGTGAACGGTTTTCTCCTAACCGTTATTGTACGCTTTTAACTTATAAGTTTAGTTTTCGATAAAATAAATATAAACTAGTAGGTCACGCGAGTTCAAGTGAAACACAAAAGTGTACATCAGTAATGCAAATCACGACTGTTTTCATCGATTTAATATTTTCGTATACATTAGCGATTTCATATTGCCTGTGGATAAGTGACACAGCTGAAAAGCAACGATCTACGGTCAGTGTCAGATTGGAGTGAAATTACTGATGCAAAAAATTAACTGGTCTTTTGTTACGATCGTGGTTTTCGCTAGAGTTACGTAAGCGAAGTAAAAGTCGTTTTTGTTAAAATTCTCAAATCCATCTGTGACTTGTTTATAATTGGGTTTCTTCTCGTTTACATAAATTCAATTAAACCTATAAGTATCTGCTATGACCTAGAAACGTAATCCGATTTCTACGAAAATGTCATTTCATTTGACCGTAGCTTCCGACTGAACAGTTCAAATATCTTCTTCGTAAGTATGAACTGGTAATAAAGGATTAACGTTGATTATCAAATTTTCGAATGAGTCTATTAATCGGCTTAGCCAACATTTTTAGGTCATTCGAATAGACTGCAAAATGCAAACGGTTAGATAGCATTATGTAATAATACGTTGAAATAACCGTCTTCCATACCCCGTACTCATCTGTGAGATAATTCGTTCAATTATTGATGAAATAACGTGTGATCAACATTTGACCTCCAGTTATTTTATGGTTCGACTAGTTACGTGATCATTCTAGACGTGCATTCACCGGAAACTTTTTATGTATCTTTTGAATGTGAGATGTATCTACACTTCACTGAATTCTTTCTAAGGAAAAGTTCCATTGATCCCGAAAACGATACCACTTCGAATTTACAGAAACCAAACGAGGTATCCGATTGCGGTAATATTGGACCACCTTGTCTTGAATTGATATCACAGCAATTTGAAGTAATTAACTGTGCACACCAACTGGACATTAAGCTTACAAAACTAACTTACAGCGATGGAACTTTATCAGCAAAACCCTGCTTACAAATATGATGGTTAAATACGTTTGGCACTACCCATCCGGTAGTTATGGTTGACGGTAGTTTTTACCTGAACATTTTTCGCCGGTGTTCCGCTGAAATAACCGATGAACTTGAACGAGGTTGACTGCCTTGTGAGTTCATATCGCACTACAGTGCCATTGAAACAATCAGCAGAGGGGACCACTGTTGACGAGGAGAGCAAGTAGGCTGAGTAGCAATCGACCCATGAGTCCGATACATCAACTAATCGGGGTCTGATGAGCAAAGGGCTTTTCGTTCAATTCCATTTACTTTTTGAGTCGCAGTTCATCGATTCAATCCTCAAGGCGCAGCATAATCTACTCGAACTGTTATTCACGATGATGAACGATGAATCCTAAGGGGACAAGGACTTGATTTTAGCAGCATATTGATAAGACTGCAGGTGTCTTGTTCTTGAAAATGTTTAACTTTTGCCCCCATTTGTTTTGTTACAGTGAACGCTGTTTATACCCTCAATTTATGATCAAGCCTTTTGTAGAACGCTCAGCTTTCGAAAAGCAGCTGGATATTAGTCTTTTTCATACACACCACGTAATACCAGACCATTGTGTTGAATAACGCTCTTCCATGACCGAACCGCTACTTCAGCCATCCGCACCATCACACAAAAGTATCCCGATGACTATCGTGTTTATATCCGCGGTGTGAAACTCCGCTTTCGGCCCCTTCTACGCTAAAATAGTTGGTTTTAGTTGTATTGTCTATGCAACAATCATCTGCCAGATAACTTGTGATTATCGTGCAGGACAAACTCGACCGACGTGCCCATGTCACAAACGAGTTACAGACATTGAGAAGGCTGGCACCTTACGGGATTGCACTTGTTTTTTGTATACTATCCTGTTCCGCGCTACACCGCGTCCATTGCGGCGCACAATGGCATGTTTCTACCTCAGTAGATTTGAAAACGTTGCCTCGATCAAGTCTCTATTATAATTGCACATCCAAGAAATATCAGGGTCAATGACGACGCCTAACTACACGGTGCATGTGGATGGGGGACCCATTTCAGCCTGGATTGGAATATGTGTTCTGTTCTGTATTCGTGCGACTTGACTGAAGTGAAATAATTACATTGAAAAAGGTATGCCTTCTTTTGTAAGGTGACACGTCTAATACGCCTGGAGGCCGCAAACTTGACAAAAACATGCTTTAACGTGTTGCTAATTTATACAGTTTGAACATAAAGCCCGACCGAAATGACCATACGCCGCTATCCCTTTGCGCTGTTCCTAACCCTGGCACTATTCTCAACGCTTTGTTTCCTTTTTGGGTTGATCGAATGAGTATATCCGAAAGAAACCGAAGAGTATGATTAGTGCGCCCACTGGGAACAATAGCAATTTCTCAACGTGCACCGTACTCTAATTTCTTCCACATTGATTCATGAACGATATTAGACCGGGTGCACACTGCAAAACGATTTGCAGCGGGAAACTAATTACGGGATCGGTCCGTTTATGAATTATTCAGTGCCTGTTCATAGAATATGGACCCGGTGACAGTAAGGATGTCAATCTATCATACTCTCATCTTATACGCCAATTAGAGTTTACTGTTTACGGATACGTACAATGTTCAGTCCCAGGGAGATTAGACGTGTAATAGTACCTCTGTAAAGAACAGTGCTGAAAGAGATCACTTTTCAAAAATCTTCCATTAGTCAATCATTTCATGTGTACATAGCTGTAGGCTGAACTCTTCTGATCATCTATCATTTTGCGTTCATAAATATCACGAAATACAGAAAGAAAAAGTCGTCCATATGTCAACGCGATGACTGAATGTTCCACGCATCAGATTCTAACCCGGCCTAATCGCTGCAGGTTTATGGAGAATTAATGCCCACGTGTGTAGCTTCATCCAACAACCCCAGCTAAAAAAGTACAACTTTAATCAGACAACCAGTGTGTGGTAAATAACATTCATTCAGATTTTCCTGATCAGTTTTCCACCATAATCCATCCACCAGTCGGTCGATCCTAGTAGTGATGACATCCTGTCATGACTGCAGCGATAAACACAGCAAGAACACAGAGTTGCCTTTTGAATTCCGCTCGGTCTCCCCTATTTGCACGTTCAACACACACACGTCTGCGCGTCCGCGCATCTTGTCGCGTAGCGCTGCTCAAAATGACAATGACATGAGGTAATGTCAACTCGGCGGTTCTGCTCTGGCCTCGATCAGCTCCCGCCGTTTTGTTCTCATCCTCTGCCGCCACGTCCTATTCGAGTGCCACTATCGTAACGGAACGAATTCTCTGCTTAATGTATGTGTGCAGGTGGTGTGTGGCATAGAACCGCGTGAATGTTTACCTATTCACACTAAATTAGGATATTGTTCAATGAACAGCGGACCTCGACTAAGCGGAATAGTAAACAAACCGTAACTGTAGGAATATAACTAACGGCACAGGTTGAAAAATTGGGATATCAGTTTAAGTGAACAGTCTGAACAAGATCCTAGCTAGAACCGGATGGAATTTTGATAGCCTCGATGTGGGAAGATTTATACGGGGCACAATTCATGCGATCGCGATAAACAGCCATTATTAGTCCGATTGATCTGATACTCCGAGCGGAACCCATAAATCTCGACTGATTTCTATCCGAGCAGCATATTGGCCCGGTCAAACAAAGACACAACGTCAACATTTAGTTCTCATAAAATCAGTACGAGTTGGATGTTTGCGTGATGTTCGTTCAACTCTGCATTGATCTCAACTACTACTTGCGTATGCATTTGCGACGTGCTGATGGATTGTTGCGCATTTTTTTCGGATGAAATTGTCGAGAATTTGTTTTATTTGCCTCCAAGCTACAAAACCTTCGTTTTACTTTAATTTGATTGAAATATAGCAACATCTGATTGTTGCCGATCGGACGGAAACTAGGACTTACCCGGAGACTGGAGGGGGAAGGGTGCCTGAAGAAGGGAAGGAGAAGCGGGAGCAGATCAAGCTTGGGGAATGTGAATAGTCGATGCTCACGCGCAGAGTTTGCCGATTGACGGGGGGGGGGCGAAGTAGGTCGGGTCAGGAATGATGGTGATTTTAATTTCGAAATGATAGCGCAAGACCAATCGCCCTTTTGTGAAAGAAAAAAACGAAACAAAAGATAAACAGCTTTTCTCTTTTTCTGTTAGATTCCATTTCATACGTTTCTCATTTGCATCCGCTGCTTTAACCTCCGGACCTCAGAAGACGAAGAGTCAGTTTTGAATAAGCTATTTGGATTAAAAACGGCAATGAATTCCCGACTGGACATAGGAATTTGTAGAATGTGTGAGGGATAGAGTGATAGGGGGATCTAAAAACAGCCGAGAAAACTAACTGGAAAAATGACGGCTATTCCCGCGACTATAATTGCGCATCTCTGAAGGAACATTCCCCACCTCTTCCATTCGTTAAACATATAAGCTATGATCTTATCGTTGTTAAAAACGTACTGGCTGAATTGTAAAATATGTCCTGCTTTATATCCACATAAGCGTACGAATAGATATTTGATTACCTTTTAATGTCAGCTTCTCCAGTACCTCAATTCCATCCTATTTGTA